AAAATGTTAAATTATTATTTTATTTCTATATATTTAATATTAGTATAATACGTAGTATGAAATATAATAAAAAGTGATGTTTGATATATTTTTGGGAAAATTTGCAAAATAGGAGTAAAAAAGTTTGCAAATTCAAAAAAAAGGACGGTCATGTTTTACTCCCAAAATAGGAGTAATTACTGTCAAGTTTGAAAAAGTGATTATTTTGAAAAATAATCAAAATTATTTTATGTATCTTTGGATTACCAATATATCAAATACAGGACAACCAATATATGGGACTCCGGAATTCTTTTAGTTATGAATGTAACTTTAATATAGTACTATTTGAACATGAAATTTAAGATCATTTTTCATTTTTTTTTAACATGGGACATTTGTATTTTTTTATTTTTCATCGAATAGTTTGACATGTTTATGTTTCAATTATATGTTAACTACCACTTGATGTAAGAACGTTTTTCTAAATTTATTTCATTTAACCTTCTAGGTAAAAATTATCTACTAAAAGTCTAAAATATGCAATCTTTGTTAGTTCAATAACCCCTAATTTTACTTAATAAGATCAAAATACTACTCCTATCATTCTAAGAATATGACAACACCATCAAGAACTCAATACTAATGAAAATGAATCAACCACTACCAATCGCGTTATGCAAACTAATGCCGCGACCATAACCTTCACAATGTCACAAAACTATATATTCTAAACTTTGTCGTAAATAAAGGATCAAAGGACTAATTTGCTGAATTCTAAAATCGATCTAGAAGGGCTAATATTTTTACATAAATGACTACACCCATTATTAAATACTACCTTAGTCCCCCTAATATTGGGACAAAAGAGAGTGGTGTGGTTTTTAAGAAAAGTAGAATTATGTGATTGATAATGAGTTCATAAAGTGGGAATAAAGTAAGAATGAATTAGAGTCACATAAATGTTACCAATTATGGTATGACACAATAATAGGGGGATATCCAAAAATGGAAAAAAAGGACAATTATAAGGGGACGGATGTAGTATATAAATTAGAAAAAATGTGTAGTCACTTTTGAAAAAACAAAATTACAGAAAGTCATGGATTAAATCTAATAGATAAAAATGGGCATTAAGCAACTTCCTTTTTTATTAGATAAAGCTGTTTAAAAAGAATACTTTCATTTGAATGCAACTGATTGTTATAAAAAACTGGCTCTTTTAATTAGAAAATATAGAATGAGAACATGTTTGGATAATTAGTTAAATAAAAAAGATATATCCAATAAATGAGAATATGCATTCCCAACTAATCTTATAATCGATTGAATAAAAGACTTTGCTAATTATAATAAAGCACACATACACCAGTACACACGCACACATAGACTAAAATTAAAAAAATAAAATCACTTTATCCCGTGCACGGCACGGGTAAAGATACTAGTTATTATACAATTCCGCGAGCCGGAAAACTCAAAATCAAGTTTTCAGTTTTCATTATTTACCTTATTACGTACTCCGTAGTAAATATAGTAGTAACTATCACTTTTATGCTTATAAATTCAAAAGTAAGGCCATTAATGTTATAGATAGGGAAATTTTTCTTAAATAGGTGTAAATTTCTTTTTGAAATTCTAAAATATATCTGTCATAGTTTTTATTCCATTATTAGTAGTAATTTCTGCCAAATTTGACATACCGGGATTTAAACATGATAATTTTTATAAAATTTGGCAGAAATTACACATATTTAAGCATTAAAAACATAATAGTCCTATTTTAAAATTTCGAAACATTTTTAGTCCTATTTAAAGTCATTCGTATGGTAGATACCGCCATACAACCCATACTAATTGGTAATGCCAACAGGATAGTAAGTTAGTTACTCCTTATATTTTAAATACGTAGTAAAAAAGAACTGAGCATATACATTTATTTTATAATTTCGGAATTGCTTTTACTTTTCTTTAAAAATATTTTAAAATTAATACAGTCAATGAGTTAATAAAAGGGAAAACTATCAAATAAGCCATCGTACTATGTCGAAAAAGTCGATTAGGCCCTCGTACTTTACAAACACTCAATTAAGTCCCCGCACTATTAAAAATGTTCAATTAAGCCCGTTTGGTCGGTAAGTAACCGGTTTCCCGGTTAAACGGCGACGACGGCGACAATGTGCTCGAACCCCAGCAACGGCGGCTGCCGGGAAACAGGTTACATTTAACCGGGAAACCGGTTACTTACCAACCGAAAGGGCTTAATTGAACATTTTTTAATAGTTCGAGGACTTAAATGAGTGTTTGTAAAGTACGAGGGTCTAATCGACTTTTTCGGCATAGTACAGGGACTTATTTGATAGTTTTCCCTTAATAAACTATCTGAAATAAGAGCCGGATTGGTAGCCATATTTTTTTGGATGAAATGTAAATATATATTAACACCAGAAAAACTATACATCACATAAACTAGATCTCCTAACCCCTCCCCCCCCCCCTCCCTCCCCACATAATGTGAGGGTGAAAAGAGGTTTTTATTCGATCTATTTTATTCCAAAATAACCAAGTATAAATACTTGGCTCATCAAGAAGCTCAAAAAATACATCGGTGCTGCACATGCATGCACACAGTTCAGAGGCTAAAATTCTAAACAAAGTATAAAGGTGTTGCTAGATGCACCCACCCTAAAGTCCATGAAGCATGCTAGATGCATGCTTCATGCCGCGTCATCCATGGGCATGCCGCACTTTCCCGAGTGCCCAAGCCGCGGCATCCAAAATATCCATGCCTCGGCACACTAACCATTCATGTAGCAGTCTATCCAAACCGTGACATCCATAATATCCACATCACGGTCTTTTACTCAAAATGTAATCAAGTCGTGCGGGTATAAATTGAAAAGTATTTTATACACCACATGCTTGATTTTCGCAATGATCTCCTCTTCCTTGACGTCCACTTCATCAAATCGGTTGGCATTCCTAGCGTGCCATAGGTAGTAAACCACGACACAAAAAGCAATCCGGACGGCCTTCCCTTTGATCTATGATCCTTTATGGTCCTTCAAGATCCATTTGACCGAGCTGCACAACGTGGTCATCTCTCGTGTCATGCCCAACCATTCCTTAATTTTTTCCCAGACCTTACAAGTGTAATGACAACAAAAAAATAGGTGTGGCATTGTTTCCAATCCACCCTTGCAAAGGTCACAACGGTTAACAATATGTAGGTAACCGAGGTTATCCTGTGTAGGTAACTGGTTCCTCAGAGCAAGCCAAACGTTGAATGAGAACTTTGGAGGGATATAAGACTTCCAAATGAAGCTCATCCACACTCTCGACGTCCCTTTAGTTCTCAACAAATCATAAATCTTTCTGGAAAGGAGTTTACCATTTACGGATCTAGTATTTGAGCCCATAATGGTATCATTCAAATTGTTAAAGCATCCCAAAATTTGGTCCCGATTGTGACTCAATTTCTTCATGAACATTGAGTCACGGTTGTGTGGGATAAAATCCCACACGCTCCTACCATTAAGGTAGACCCCATTGACCCACCTCACCCAAAGGGTGTCTTTCTTCCTATGAACATCCCAAAGTGTTCGAGAGAGGAGAGCATGGTTTCAAATCTTGGCATTATGGATGCCAAGACCCCCTTCCTCTTTTGGTAAACAAATGTCGTCCAAAGCCACTTTAGAATATTTCCCACCCCATAGAAAAATTCGGCAAATAGAAACTATCATATCTAAGATAGTTTGGGGGACCGGGAAGATTTGGAGCCAAAAAGATTGGACCCCTTGAATCACAGATCTTATCAACTCTAGTTTTCCGGCATAGGATAAGGTTTTTGTGTTCCAAGCCTTTAAAAAATCCGAAATTGTATCAAGCAACGGTGAATATTGCGCAACGGAAACCTTAAGAGGGGCAAGTGGAATTCTGAGGTATTTAACCGGGAATTTACCCCGCCCAAAGTCCACAAGGGCCATAATCTTCCGGAGATCATTATCATTAACTCCTCCCACAAAATGTTTGACTTATCATGATTTACTTTAAGACCTGATGCATCCCCAAATTCCTCAAGGGCTTTGACAAGTATTTCAATTGAATAAGTGTCGCCTCGAGAGAAGAGAATTAGGTCATCTGCATAGGTCAAGTGAGTCACTCCAAGTTTCGCACATTGTGGATGGTAATTAAAATTTGGCCCTTTGGTTTTCAGATTAATCAATCGGGAAAAATATTCTAGGCAAAGGATAAATAGCAATGGAGACATTGGATCTCCTTGCAGAATGTCCCTCTTATCCTCAAAGAAACCATACAAAGAACTATTCAAAGAAACGGAGAATGAAGCCGGGTTGGTACCCATATTTTTTGCTCCGATGATGTTTTATCATATATTTTTCTTTTGTATTTGATAATTAAAATAAGTAAGATTGAAGAATGATACTCCGTATAAAATTACTTCTAAGTTTTGAAAGATTACTTTTCCTTTCAAAAAAACTTTTGAAAGATAAAAATATGATTAACTTTTCGAAAATTTGATTAATCCTTTTTAATACTGGTATATTTAAATTTCGATCTTTACGTGTAATATCTATTCAACTATCCACCTCACTCCCTCTCCCGACTGCTGCCTAAAAAATCAAGTGATAAAAAACTAAAAATGTTAGCTGATGATCCCAAAATGCAGTTACCAAACGAGTCCTTAAAAAAATTGAGCTGTTTCAACTTAAATAATGGGCCTGAGACTGCTAAAGCAGTCTCTATTTGTGAGGATGAATAATTACCTCATTTATTAAACAGATGGCAGAAGCACTAAACACCCCCAGTAATGTGGGTCCCATGCAGCAGCTGCCTATGGGATAACCATGAACTAATTTAGGAACTGAACCAGGGTAAAAATAAAATTACAAAAACTAATTAAATGGTTAAGAAGGACACCAGGAAAAACAACATTTTTATATTATTACAAGTAAATTTAATTAATTAATTATTTTTCATCTCCCATCACCCTACCCATCATCTTCATCATCAACTCCTCAGCCATAATTTTTTTTATTCCAAAACAAAACCCCATTCCCCATTCTTAATAACTTCACTCTTCTTTCCTTAGCTTTCCTTCATCTCCCCTCTCTCTTTATCATCATTTCCCATGGATTCTTAACCCTAATCTAATCTCAGATTCTTAAAGACCATAACTTATTTATTGGTATTTCATCAGATTTAAAGAGAAAACCCAAAAGCTAGCAAAGGCCCGCAGCTAGCTAGCTGCTAATTAAGTTCAGACCCACTGTTTGGTGTTTAGCAGATTATGGATTTAAGCAACAATCATCCTGCCACCGCCGCCGCGGCCGCCGCCGTACCTCAAGAAAAAGAAACTCCGCCTTCTGCCCGGATCCCGGCCGCAGTTAAGCCACTGTCCTTTAGCAGCAACGGCGTGCTCAAGCGCCACAATTCCCTCCACCGCCACCACGCCGTGGTGGTGGTTTACAAGGAGTGCCTCAAGAACCACGCCGCCACTCTCGGTGGCCACGCCGTCGACGGTTGCGGGGAGTTCATGCCTTCCCCCACCGCCACTCCCGCCGACCCTACCTCCCTGAAATGTGCCGCCTGTGGGTGCCACCGGAATTTCCACCGCCGCGAGCCGGAGGAGCCCCTGCAGCTCCCCAGCGCCCTGCCCGCCCTGGATTACCAGCCCCATCACCGCCACCACCCGCCTCCGCCGCCGAATCACGAGAACGGGAGCCCGAATTCGTCATCTCCGCCGCCAATCTCCTCATCGTACTACCCGTCGGCGCCGCAGATGCTGCTCGCTCTGAGCACCGGCCTGTCGGCCGGGCACCCGACAGACAACAATACCCCCATCTCCGCCGCGGGAAACCCTGCTTCCGCCGTCCCGGCAGCGCATCTGAAGGGGAGAAAGCGCTTCAGAACGAAATTCTCCCCAGATCAGAAACAGAGGATGATGGAATTCGCCGAGAGGGTGGGGTGGAGGTTCCAGAAGCGAGACGAGGACGTCATCAACCATTTCTGCCGCGAAATCGGAGTGGAGAGAGGCGTTTTGAAGGTCTGGATGCACAACAACAAGAACACCGTCGGTAAGAGGGACGGCTCCGGCGGGTCCGCCGGCGCCGGCGCCAACAACGAGAACGGATTTGACATCGGTGGTATAAATTGTCACCATTTGGAGCCGGCCCCACACGCCGCCCGATTCAGCCTTCGTCAGGAAAGCAACAGTGACAGCCAAAATCACTACAGTCTCCATAACAGCGACGCTCTGGCCGCTAATGGGTCGTCTTCCTCCTCCTGATGAGTTTCCCGGCGATGAAACCAGAGAATAAAAATAAAAAGAAAATAGAAAAAGGCTTTTTAGGAAAATTGCAAACCCAGTAATGTTTCTTTCTTAGCTCTTTCATTTTGACTGTTCTGAACTGAGTAGCAGTGTTCATTAAACTTCGATGATGATGACGAAAAAAACTGCAAACAGCGATTTTTATTTCTTTGTTCTTCAATATCGCCCTGACTTGTAAATTATACCCTTAGTTCCCTTTAATTTGATAAAAAATCAAATCTTTCCCAGTTTTTCCTGCTTCATCAGGCTGCCATTGGAGTCGGGAGAACTGTTTCAAGAAAAAACGTCTTTGTTCTTTTCTGGGTCAATTATTATGTTAAGAACTTGTCAGATTTGATTGTTATCATTGTTAGTTTAGTAGGTCAATAATGCTGGTCTTATACTCTTATTTGCCATTAGAGAGGTTGTTAATGTAGGCTTAAAGTGTAATCAACTGACAATTATAGAAGGTGATAAAGTAGATTTGTTAATTAGTTAAAGGGTAGACTTAATTATATGCTTGCGAAAAGGTAGACCAAATTGAATTAATTGATGATGTACCAAAATCTGATATTACCTTTTTTTAAATCATTTGGAGGGTTGTATCATGTGGGGAGGTTGTTGTTTGGTGGGTAGTCTCAGATTAAGAAAATGATTATCAACGACTTGACATTGAAATGCATAACAATAAAGGAGAGTCAGTTTGTTTAGTCTACTTCCTTAGTTTCTCAGCCACAACTTAAGTCCCATTTTTTTTCGTTTTCACGTACTAATAAGTTTGACATATATTGCACTACTTTTGCGTAGTTTTAAGTTTTTACATGTTTCAGATTCACTTTCTATTTTATTTTGAAAAGGCAGTATTGAATGTATAAGTTTTATTTATTACATAATAGTCAATTTAATATGCATAAATTGTATAGAGGAATGAACATCTATATTGATTGCATTTTATTATACGGCATATGGTCGAAAATAAACTGATCCAGAAGGGAATAAGTTAAGGAAAGGAAACCGGCTAAATATGGAGTATAATAATTAATATTATAAGGTCTACAAATGTATTTGAATTCGATTTTTATTGATTTTCGGTTCGGATTGAAATATGATAGAACAATAATTATTAAACAAAAAACTACTATGTTTCGGTTTGAAATTGTTATTATTAGTGATATATTACTCTCTCCGTCCCATTTATATTGTCTCGTTTTACCTTTTTGGGAAGTCCCACTTAAATTGTGTCATACCATATTTGGCAAAGTTTGTGTGACTCTAAATCATTCTGACTTTATTCTTACTTTATCAATTAATATCAACCACACAAGCTCACTTTTCTTAATAATCGTGCCAGCCTCTTCCGGGACAATATAAATGGGACGGAGGTAGTATGATTTAGCCATTTAGGGGGTGTTTGGAACTGATTCTGCTTCTGCTTCCCTTTTAAAGTAGAAGCAGAATCAGAATCAGTTTTCAGAAGCTGGTCACCCCCAACTTCTAAAAAAACTGATTCTAAGAGTAAATTAGAGCACCAGAATCACTTCTACACTTTCACGCAAATACTCCAGCTTCTCATTCTGCTTTCTGAAGGAGTAGAATCAGTTTTAAGAATCAGATCCAAATACCCTTTGATGTTTTCTTTTAGACTGAAATTTGTTGGTCTGGTCTGGTCTGAACTGGTCTGGTAAATGTCTGATCTTTGTGTATAATATAATTAAAGAAGTCTGATATGGTCTGGTCTGGTAAACGTCTGGTCTCTGTGTATTTTATAACTATCCAAGTCTGGTCTGGTCTGTTTAATTCTGGTCTGATCTGGTCTGGTCTGGTCTGGTCTGGGATTGAAAACAGTCCAAAAGAAAACATCCCAAGACTTTTTAATTTTTTGGCGGCTTAAAATAAATGGAAAATTTTCCCAAAGAATGTGAAATCCGAATTTTTAAATGGAAAGTTAGAAGAAGTTTATTTAGAGTGCATTGAGATATAGAATAAAAATGAAAGTAGACAAACTTTTAAAATTGAGAAGCACACTTTATTGTTCAAAGCAAGCCCCAAAATTTTGGAATACAACAATTGATAAGTATTTTCAAGTGAATAATTTTATAGAAGTGTCCCCGTGAACATGGTCTTTATGTAAAATTTAAAGGGAGAAAATTGGAGATATCTTGATTGTTTGCATTTTTGTTGATGATTTAATTTTCAAGAGAAACAATCCCAATTTCTTTGGGAATTTCAAAACGATAATAAGACAAGAATTCCAAAATGAATTTAATGTCCTATTATTTAGAAGTTGGGATGAAATCGAGTGAAAATGAATTTTCAACAATCAAGAAGGTATGTATATAAAATTCTTGAAAAGTTTAAAATGAATGATTATGATTCAATCCGTAGAATGTGGATTGTGAGGTAAAAAACTATCCAAGTTTGGTCGATTGGGCTCCTCTGCCGCACGGCAGAGTACCTTGCCGAAGGGGAGCCGTCCGATGAGGAAGAGGAAGCTTCGAGATGCACACCCGGAGATCTCTGGCCGTTGAAGATTTGATCGGTCGGCACAAAATGGCCGGGCACCGTGCCTTGCTCTAAAGCAAGGCAGACACTCCGGGTCCAAGTTTGGTGATGAAGTAAAAGTGAATCTCACAATGTTCAAAAGCTTGATGGGGAGCTATTGTAACCCGTCAGATTTGTCTTTCTTATGGGTAACACGGCTTTTACTGGGAGAGGGTCACAAAAACAAGTTTAACGGGTGGTTCAAAATTAATTTTGTTTTTTAGTTAATGGTTTGGGCCTAAAATATTTTGCTTTTTAGTTAATGTATGATTGTGTTTGAATAAGAAAAGGATAAATTTTAAAGTATTTGTCACACATCGTTAAGTTACTGAATAATAAAACATTACAAAAGACTTTGAGCTAGTTCTCTCCTACCAAGTTGACCTTTTAGGGTTGAACTCTGGGTCTTAACATGGGGTCAGAGTCAAGTTCTGTTTTACCCAATACTGTTCATCCTGATTCGAGCTGAGAGGACATGTTAAAGGATAGGAAAGGTATTGTAATGGAGGGGATGAGGGGAGCTGCGATCGAGAGTTTTCCTCTGCGTCAGTTTGAATAGCCGATTTTCAGGCGACACACTCGTTGGAGATCAGGGCAAGATCAGGGCAGAGACTATGAAGAGTCTTTGAGGGCTCTTGGAAGGCGTCGCTGGTGGGGATTTTTGCAGAAGCAGTCGACTGAACGAGAACTCCTGTGATCTAGCGACTGGAATTGACAGTGGACTCCGAGACAGAGCTACATGGCTCTCTTCTCCGGCGACCAGCGGCACAGCGACTACAGAAGACTTGATCGACCGCCTTGCAGGTACCAAGCTCGTGCCCAACCTCGTGCTTCTCTCCATTTACCGTTCTGGAGATGCAATCAAGAATATATGTCACGAGCTTCAAGGGATGTGGAGAATACTGAACGGCAGCTACATCCCATTTCTCAAAGTGGATTTGAGGTTACGATTGAAAGCAAAATTTTTTGATTTAATATTATTGATGGTAACCTTATGCAAAATCCTGAAATAAAGAAGGGATAACATCTGTTATTAATCTCGATATAGATAAAGCTATTTGGTTGAAGAAATCCATTCTCAAAGTTTTTCAAGGAAATTTCGGTACCAGGCGGGAATTGAATATATCTATAAGTATGCTCTACGATGCAAATTTCTTTGGGGGTTTTATTCGCGTAATTGAGAATGAATATGATAATTTGTTTATTCTTGAAGGTCGGAATGGATTAGGGTTCAATAGTACGTTTTCTCACAGGATTTACAAATTCAATTGATTTGATGGAAGAAATCGTTGCTAAACGAACAATGGAGATTGAACATGTTGATAGGGAAGATTTTGTAGTTAGAGCGGGTACCAACTTTGAGTTGGAGCTTCTGACCTTAATTAGATCGGGTCTTTCCTCATTCTGGTGAAATTACATTTTCCATTTCAAGTGTTGATATTGATCAATTAGATTCTTTAGATCATGCACTAGATTTGGTTTCTGTTGAGGACGTTCAGTGTTTTGTGCAAAATCATGAATCTGACCATGAATCAGATAACATCACTTCAAGGAGTGTTGTAGTGATTCGGGATACTTCACTGGGGACATTAACTTTTGAAATAAAGGAAATAGATGTAACAGATGTTCTTGAAACTACTCCTCTTCGGGTTTCTTTTTCACCTCACTCTAAATTGAAATTTAATGCTTTGGGTGGAAATGATCTTGAAGTTACGCTCGTTCAAAGGATATTCTCTGCCACTAATCGTGAGTTGCTAGACCGTGTTGCTGACACTGAATGAGACTCTGTCAGTTCTAGATTGCTATCTCGACGGAGTGCTCGTCTCAAAGCTAAGAAATTGGCCGAACCATAGGGCCTGTTCAAGCTTTACATAATTAGCTTTTGGATATTTTAGGGACTTCATCTCTTTCGGGCGATTCAGCTGATTTTGACATGGAGCTAATCGTTTTACTTTAGGGTTTTGCAGGGCCTTTTTGAATTGTTCTCTCATTAAAAAAAAGAATAAAAAAAATATTTATCTCACCACGAAAAACCATAAAATAATAAAAATACTATATAAGATTTTGGGTTACCACTCCTACCAGATTGAAATTTTAGTACGAAACCCCAGATTTTAAGATAAATAGATGTTATTAGCCAGACAAAAATTTGGCAAGTGAGGAAAAAATTTGGGACAACAAAAATTGTAAACGTATATGTTGGAAAAGGCCTTAGGAGTAAAGAAATGCAGAAGTAATAAATTCTCAAACTTCTCTAGAAAGCGAGGTCTCTACAATTTTCATATTGTTTGTTTTTAAAATAACAGTTTTCATATTGTTAATTATGTAGAATTAATTAAATGAAGAATAGTGTAGATAATTTTTTACTAGTATATATAGATGTCTCCTACAACCATTTTGTATGAAGTAAATCAAGTAAAATTGAGTTGTTTTAATAAAATAGATCTTCCCTTTGCTCAACCATCCTTTTAATATTGCTTCTAATTTACCCTTCTAATTATCTAATCTTCCTTCAATTATTTCCAACAAGAGTGAGGTGAATGAGAAGGATGAATGATACAACATTTCAATAATAAAAGAGAATTGAAGTGAATGGCAAAAACATAAAGTATTACTCCCTCCGTCCTAAAATGATGGTCCTGTATTTCCTTTTTTTGGATGTCCCAAAATGATGGTCTTGTTTCCCTTTTTAATAAAGAACTAAAAGTGGATTACCATTTGTACTCCTCCTTTTTAATGAACAATAAAAGTGAAATGATGAACTGTACAATAAAGTAAGGTTCTTTAATCTTTCTACCAAACTTTCTTAATCTTTGTG